AATCGAAGGTGCTTAGTTGAATTTCTGTGGCTTGTTTGTATGACATTTGATGCAAAAAATGAATGTAAAGTAATGCATTTTGTATTGTCTGTTGCACTCTTTAAGGAATCATAATGATACATTACGAGTGTAGGTTTGTGCTATCATTAGATATAAGAATTCTTACGATTGCGATCGTTTTTGGTACCCGTATCGCCCATATCGGAAAAAGAATTCGATAGAGCTGTCTTCGTTCTCGCATAGGTATTCTCCCGCAATCATTAGAGCTGATTCGATTTCTTTGAGGGCAGTGATCGATTTTTCGAGGAAGGTTGTTAATTCAATTGTGTATTTGCGGTGTTGTTTACAGTCCATCACCATCGACAATAATGCGTGAATTCGAGTACAGTATGGAGGAACGTCAGCAGCAAGGCGATTCCTCGAATTCACCTCCACCATTCATGGGTAATATTTCACCGACAATGGTTCATGTAAGACCGTCAACTTCATCGTTTGTTGATTCGTTCGGAACGGACCAAGAGCACGACGAAGACAGGGAGCATCAGAAAGTGGAGAGCAGGAACAACGGTGGACAGGGCAAGAGCACAGCAGTGCCACACTTGTGAGTGTTTTTATTCTGTTTCAACGGAATTATTTTATTTGCTATTAGTTCTATTTATTTCATTCAGCGGTATCCATTTCATCTATGATTCTGTTATTCTATTCTCATTCTAATTGTTCTTTTGACGTTTCCATTTGCTGTCTATTTCGATTTTTCCTTCTGTTTTGGGAGGAATTAGGGGAGGTTGTGCACATGGCGATTGAGGATGTATTTATCAGATTGAGGGATTGAGATTATATTATATATCCTTATTATATTATATTATATTATATTATTGAGATTATATTATATATATTATTGAGATTATTATATTATATTTAATATTCGATCCTCTTTCTTGCATCTTCGATGTGTTTCAGCTTTGGTTCACCACCGGCTAATGATCAGTTATGGAGTGGAATGATGGGCAG